AAAAAAAAAAGAAAAAAGCAAATGAACAAAAGATTCTTCACAGACAATAACAAATATATACAAGAAAAAACAATAAAAATACAATTTTGAAAACCATTTATGAGTTGCTTTAATACCAGGTTAGACACAGCTGGGAAAAAAAAAATCAATGGCCCAGAAAACAGGAGAGAAGACATGAGAACAAAAAATATAGATTATGACATGGAACATGGAGAAAGGAAACAAAAATAGATGTAGATGAAGTCTCCGAAGGATAGGAAAAATTATATTGGTCCAGAGTAATAAGCACACAATAGCTAAGAACTTCAAATGAGTAATCAAGCCACAGATTCAACAAGCACTACAAATCCCCAAGCAAAATAAATACAATACATTCAGGTACATCAAAGAAGTAAAGGGGAGAGGTGTCCCCTCATAGATGCAGAGATCTTAAAAGCGGCCAGAAATTTGTTTAAAAGATTTACTTCAAAGGGCAAGGTAGATTAAGGGTTACCCAACTTCTTTACATAAATAATGAAGCCAGAAGACAATGAAATGGTTATCTTCAGTGCTGGGCAAAGTGCCAAACTAGAATTCTGTATCTGAGAAGGAAAAAATCCTTCAGAAATGAAGGTAAAATAGAGACATCTTTAAGCAAGCAGAAATAGAATTTGTCACAAGAAAACAATGAAGAGACCTCCTCTTGTAGAAAGAAAAAAGATAACACATACCACTTGAATATGCACCAAGAAATGAAGTGCAATAAACAGAACAAATAAATGAATATCTATCTCTAACCCACAATAACCACAGTTCACAACTGGGGAAGGTAGCAAATTCAGCAAAAGTATTCTAAACTCTTTTATTGACTAGGAAATGGAAAAATTTATCATTTACTTTATATTTAATAAATCAAGTGTGCATTTGGTAATCTATGGGGTGATCACTGAAACAACAATAAAAGTATGCATGGCTGAAAAGCTAAAAAAGGGGGAAAAGGAACTAATAATACACAAGAAAACAAGGAAGGAGAGATGAACAGAAATCAACTCTACTTAACAGAGCTCTATTTAAAAACAAAACCAAATAATACAATGAGTACACAGGCTATATCTTACATATGTGGATACAGAAAGAATGAGAGTAAGAACAGGGAGAAATATACATCTCATAAAATACAAATCAAAAGAAAGTTGTGTGTTCTAACTTTATCACAGCAAACTTCAATGCAATACATACATATACAAGGGTAGACACAGAAGGACACTTCAGATCAATACAAGTCTAATTCACTAGAAAACTCCAAATTTGACTGCACATTTTAACATTTACATGTAGTCAGAAATCTGCTCCTGAAATATCATGTATTCTGTGCAAAAACCAGTAACCAGGAGCTTATTTACTATCATTTTTAGGAAGGAAAAACTCAACATTTCACATTAACTCATAATCTTCAAGTGTATATTTTAAAAATTTAACTAAATCACAGAAAATGTCCATTTACAGTAGTAAGTCATCATGGATAGGATGCAAAAGGCTTATACAGGACTTCATAGGCAGTAAGTTTCTCAATGGATCTTTTCCCTTTCTCTACAATGTAACACTTTCTCAATTTTCTTGTGTACTTATAAATTTAAGAAAAATAAGGGCTAAATATGAAAGGCAATTATGAACTTGCTCAAGACACACAGAAGACAGCAGCTCAAAGGCTTTTAATTAGTAACATCTTGTTTATTGCCAGCAACATTAGAGGTGCATATTACTATTTCTGACACAAATACAGTTTAAAATGTTTATACATCATTCTAATACACTACCAATCGTACTCGAAATGTAATTTGTGACTTTCTCCATTTACCAGTTTGCATAAATACTGTCCCAATTTTGTAACGTAAAAATGTATTTTTCCTAAACAAACTTTGGCTAACAAAGCCACGCTGTAATAAAGCTAACCCTAAACAAACTATCTCAAATCCACAAGTGTAACAGGTTGATCTTAACAGAGCTTTCTCATCAACTGATGGGACAAGCAGATCAGAGTAACGGAACAAAGCACGGAAGACATGTACCAAAAGTGAGTGACTCCATACTGGACCATAAACTAACTCTTAATAAACTTCAAAGGACAGACATGTTCTCTGTTCTCA